ATCCGTAACGCCCCTGGGAATTGGTACCCTCGGAAGAGACTACGTCCAAAGCATACGGCACTGGCAGAGCCGTGCACGTGTAGCGGCCATTAAAGAAATTCACTTGTAGACGTCTTCTTCTTATTTCCTTCCTTCCGTTTCCTTTTATTCCTCTCGAGTAGCCCTCATAACTTTCATCCTTATCTCCCTTTCACCCCGCGTACCAGAAACGATATCTTCAGTCCCAGCCTCCCTGTTTCGTGCTATAAAAGTGGAATGTGGGTCGCTTCAAAAATATAACCTAACAAATGGATCAGTATTTAAGTAAACCAAGACGTGGTCTGACGTCATCGTGCTTCGTCTCCTCGTGACGTGCAGGGCTGGCTAGGGCAGTGTTTACCATTTTTCCTGATACGCTATTGGACCCTCGCCTATCTTTACTCCTCGTCCTTCGTTGTCTCTCTTTATCTCATTCTTTCGTTTATCTCCAACCGACCGTAGTCCGGTTAGCCTTCTCTCGATGGAATCTTTATATTCCGCACGTGGTTCGCTGACTACGCTTATTCCAGCAGGCTCGTTCTCTCCTTCTCCGGACTACGGTTGGGCTAGTTGGAATGCCGAGGGTGACGCGCGGCCCATGTACTTTACTTGGTTGAACTTTGCCCGCGTGCAACCGTCCGCCTTACATAATGCAGCCGGCCGTATTGAATATTTTGTCAGGAAAGTGATAGCGAAATCCCCCGGAAAGCCCCGGTGACATTCGCGGAATATTACGAGGAACGTCGTTGGCTAGTCGATTTGGAGCTAACTTCATGAGAGACAGAGAGACGGATAGATAGGCAGTCAAGATATGAGAGAGAGCGAGAGAGGGATTGAGAATTGGTTGGAAAAGAAAGAGAGTACGAGGAATAAGAGAGTAGAGAATCGAGAGGGTGGAAAATCTAAGGAAGTCGGTCAAGGGGAAGAAATCGTGACGATTCATGGAGGGGGGGAGGAGGGGGGAGGGGGGGGTCTAATTCCCGAATGGATTTCTTTAGCCACCCTTATCATAGTGAAACGTCATCGTTACCATAAGTCGATGAACTTTTATTCACTTGCGTCACCCTGTAGGATTTCTTTTGAAAATACGTAAATTCATAAGAGTATCTTGTCTCCCTGTTACACACAGCATCCCTTGGCCTACCTTATTTTCCATCTAAATGCACATTCGCTGTAACTCGTTTCAGACTCCGTTAAACATTTCACCCCTTAAGTAAAGAGGGCGCGACCAGACTGCTCGGGTCCAAGCTACGAAACTCGGCTTTAAATCTTTGATGGCCGCGGGCTCTGGCAGACGTGTGGTTCTTTTCCGACATTCGGTTATACCGGGTGGTGTATGTATAATAAACTTCTAAGAAGGATAAGCTATCCTATGTATATTCTTTAACAAAGTCCCTCGTAACAAAACCCCTCGCTTGTATCCTCCATGGGTTAGCCTTGTGTTCTCATCCAGCCATTTGCACTACATGCCATATATATATATATATATATATAGCAAACTGGCAAATGGTTCTATGCTGTTTAGGTTTTCACGTGTTTCACCAAAATTGCACATAGTCCCGACGTCAGGTCGACTTTTACCCTCGTACCGGGCCCTGAAATTTACGTGGCACATTTGAGTGCATGTACTACACCCACGTATGTATATGGATATCCAGAAACACGAGCAGACGATAAAACCGAAGAGAAACGCTCGAAGTAGAACTGGCGTCCACATAGCCAGACAATTCGTAGGAGAATCGGTGAAGAAGACGCCCTTATCTAGGTGTAGGTCTCTCCCTTAAGGGGTTAAGCGTCGCGCAGTGACCCCACTCTGCAGCAGGGTGCAAGGAGGGATGCACGTGGTGAGGTCAGACGGGATATACAAGATTCAGAACGGTACAGTCGGAGCAAGAAAACTTTCAGCATCCAGTCTCTAGCGGCCTGCTGCACGGTATCGATCACGTGGTAGCTAGTTGATTCTGTACACTCACCCTCAAAGTGGCGGTAGAAGGTTACCGCGGGGTCGGGGGAGGGATGAAAACGGGAGGAAGGAGGGTTGAGTCTAGAGGGTGGAGAGTTCGCCAGGGTTGGGCTGTGTGTACCTTATTCATTATATCGCACTGTTCACCCTCCGCTCACGAGGAACGGGAGGGATGGAGAGGGAGAAAGAGTCAATAGGTTGAACGAGAGTAAGAGAGAGAGAGAGAGAGGGGTCGTAAAGGCAGCCTGTGTAAGAGCAGGGACGATGTATACCTACAAGGGAATACCTACATACGCGAGAGGGAGTGCCCGTGTATACATTATACCGGGTGTCTGATAAACAAAGCTTCTCACCCTCGAAGACCTTTTGCCTCCCTATACTATTTCTCCATCCCATCCGCTGTCACTTATAGCATCGACTTTCACTCTTCTTTCCCGATACTTTGTCAGACCGCTAATTGAGTAATAACACCTTTCGGGAAAATCAGCCTTTCGAATTCATTATTCCGCCTGGAAAATTCCACATCCGGCTTTCTCATAGGGTGACTTTTTTATACGATGAATTTTAATATTCACTGGCGAGTCTTTTAGAGATCACCTATATGGCACTTGGTATATATATATATATATAGTGGTACTTGATGCATTCCGTGAACTCTCAGTACTGTTTACAAAAGTTTTACCAAATACCAGATACATTTTAATTACAGCTACTGGATTATTGTTATGCGTGACATAGCTGGTAAAACCGATATGGGTTGCGTGTTTTCGATATCGATTTAATAAAGCAGCAAAAGTGGGACGAACGTTCCTTACGATACTGTGCCACTTGGGTCACGTAAATAAAGGATAGAGAGGGAGAGGAAGAATGAAATACACTAGAAATCCATTTTCACGACAGCTCCACGTGCATCTGAAGTGTAGGATATTCCTTTTGTTACTTTCTGGCTTTAAATCCATAAAAGAGTGGTTGAACTCTATGAAAAAAATATGTACATAGACTGTGAGGTAAACTCATAAAATAAATAGAGTCGATCAAGAACTGTCATACGATGCCATAAAATTTTTCTCTAAACGTCAAACACGTTTATTAATAAATAAAAAAAAAAAATGATTTCTCACAGAAGTCAGGGGTTCCACAAACACACAGTACGAACCTGGGCCAGCCGAGTGTCTCCGAGATTTCGACCGAGACCCGCGAAAGCCCGAAAACTCCACAAGATAATAGGATCTTAGGAGACACAAGAGATCTCAGGCATTGCTTGAAGAGCTACCAACCTTCCAACAAACATAGTCCCTTGATGTTCCAGCGTCGCAGACGTATTTCTTCGGCGGCCCGAAACTCCCGATTTGAAAGCCCGGGAGAGACACTCTTTATCCGGAGAGTAGGTGGCGCCAGTTCGGAAGAAGCTACGCTGCGAGACCTGGAACTTATGTTCTCCTGATACTAAAACGCTTTACCGAGATTTCTTCGCTAGAAGAGCCGCATTCTTGGCTGGTTCCCGGCAGTGATAGGACGTTTGCGAACGTCCCTATGAGAATCAGGTTGAATCCAGTGGAATCATCATCCCTATGAGAAGGAGAGCAGAAGTGCTAGCAGTTTATAGTGAAGTTCCTCGTCTCGGATCGCATCTAAATCGGGACGTTAATTACAAGCACTATGGCGAAGAGGTTAGCGAGAAAGGAAACTTAATATTTTTTTACAACGTTCGCTCGTTAATTCATCTTGAATAGTATCGAGGCTTGTGCTACTGTAGGGAACTTGGTTATACGTTAATCCTTGGCCACTATATCACATCCTGTATGTAATACTGTCGTACGTGTATTCAGAAAAGTTTATTATACAGTGCTGTGTAGGTAAATGCTTCGCGGACGCTCAATGGCTACAGTTTATATGGCGGAGCGGTAATTCGCGGTACTAACGAAATAATTACAACCTGAGCGCGTCTCTATGGTTTGAATAGCCAATGATGAATCCCAAGTAGAAATGTTTGTTAGAGTTAAATTGCAATTTAACAAATCCCATTAGCCAATCTCGACCTAACCTTCTTGTTTGATGTCGCTGGGGCAAACGGATCTAAGGGCAGGGGCTGTTGAGAATTCAAGTGGGATTAGAACCCCTGACACATGGGTTGTGAACACTTTTGAACATCGAAAGGATTAATTGACGAAAAACATACATAGTTTCTCCCGACTCTGGTCGTTTAGTGTCATGGCGGATTCCCCTCAGGTACTTCATTTACCCACTTCTTCTTGGTCTATCACAAACTTTACAATAATTAAGCGCTACTTTGGAAATTGCTTGATCACCGTAACGAGTGAGTGGCTGCGTTACGCAAAGGGGAGATGAAGCGAAATCTTATTCCTTTTATCTAAATTATCACATTATCGCTATAGCATTGATTCCTCGTAATTATTCTCATTGGTATCTCTGGTCGCTGAAGAATCCTATTATTCCTTTAAGCTCGCTTTCCCCTTCCTTTTTTTCCCCCAGTAATTTACGGAAACTAAAAGAGGGCTCTCACTCCTATCGCTATGCCATGGCAAATGCACTTTTAATCTCCCGGTAATACCGAGATTTTCCCGGCTACCGGATAAAGGAGAACCGCTGCCTCCTTTGGGGTTCGCCTCAATTTGCTGGAAAGCTGTAGAAAAAAAAGCCTTCATCTCACCAGCACGAAACGAGCAGCCACACTCGCCAACTTGACAGACTTGTCCGTGACATGGTATGGAAGAAGTATGAAGACAGAATAAAGGGAAAGACGTAATTTTGCATCGTTTAAGTTTCTCAGCCGTGCACACTACGCGCTTCCTTGAGTCGCGATTGGGTATGAATGAAAGTCGTTCATCCACGTGTCTCTTAAAAATTTAATCCTCAACCTCTGACCCTTTGTTAGAAATGCGCATAATCATTCCTTTATTTTCATTCGTATGCTTAATTAATGTTACTGGCATGATTAAAATCTTTATCAAATTTTTTTTGTCTCTATTCATAAATCCGAATACACGGAATAACTTACCGACCAGTGCTTGCGCAATTGTGCGAAGAGGAAAAATTTTTGGGGGTCGCAGGTTGGCCACTTTAATCGCATTGACGTTAAGGTTCGTTTGAATTTCTTTCCTGTGCTTGGAGTCATTATTTTTACGTTCGATAGGTTTTTCACGTGTTATCCACTGTGATATCTCTTCAGACAGCTGCTTAATTCAAAATTGACCTTTTTTCACGTTGGGTGACACGGGATTTCGAAAAATATTTATCAATTGCAATATCGCGCGCGGGTTTGATATTTTTGAGCTTGTCGTCAAGGGTCGCTTGTCCCTCGTTTGTCAGAAACACCCCTCTTCTGTCATCGACAACCCTTAATATCGTCCACGGGGTGGATTCATTTTTTTGCCATGAAAATCCTCTATCTAAACCTTGGTGAAAATTGCTGTGACTGCGACACATAAAAAGAATGACAAGGTAAGACACATTCGTTCACCATTTTGAAAATCGTATACCATTAGGAGTCTATTCCCAGTAACGAAATTCTATCGGTCACGTAAATCTACTTATCAGTGCGTGGCTCCGAACCATTCGCAAATGTAAGGGCATAATGGTGCATTGTACTCGTGAAAGGGGTGCACCTCCTGGCGAGTAAAGGGTGTCTCTTGAGAAGTTGATATCAAGGGATGAAATACGTGGACTTTCAAGGGTCTCAATAGTGTCAGCTGTATATTTTACGTAACAATGGCCACCAGTACTGAATATACTCTCAAGGGTTTCTTCCACGGAGAATTATAAGGGTGAGGGTTCCACGAACGAAACAAATGAATATTTAAGAACTGTTTCGAGAAATTCGAAGGGTGAGTCTTGGCTTGAATAAGACCTTGCCATTTGGGGGATGGTCGTTTCTTATCGATCGGTCCCGGAAGGGTTCGTCCAGGATAGATCGAATATTAATCCATCAAAAGGAAGCCGGATGAACTCGTGCACCGAAGTCATTTGCTTCGATAGGTAATACTTCTTCGTGGAATTACTAAGAAAAATGGAAGAAAAAAAATAAAAGACGTGTCCCCTCTGAGGAGAAGTTTCGAAAGTCTTGACTGGTTGCTGCGTTGGCTTATGCTGTGACTGACAATCTTTTTTGGCGCATATCCTTCCATTCTCTGGGACTTTCGCCAATATTACGGATGAAATGTTTTCAACTGAGAACCACTGTCTAGAAAGCAGATACTCACAGAGAGAAAGAGCCGATCGGCGGCAGCGTTAAGGAGACGAAGAGGAATTTAGCTGTCCGCTCCGGTTATTTTTAACGTGTTATTTTATAAGGTAACGAACACAAGCTTGAAGAATTTTGCATCGGTTCCAATTTTCAATCGAGTCTGTTCTGATTGGGAACCTTCAGAGTCCTTTTGTTGAGATACATTTGTGCCGGGAGTCTGATATTCCGATAACAGTAAAAGAAACAGAAGTGTCATGCTCGGCTGTTGTGACAGCTCGGGCGGATTCCAAGAGATCCGCCTTGAATGATCTTTTGTGTGCCAGTAGAAACACCTTAATGATTTTCGAAAATTCATATCGGTTGAAACGAATGGAGAGACTCGTATATGCCTGGGGAGAAAGTGAAAGTGAGAACCGACACGCGAACATAACCTAAAACTAATTTGGACACAGGGATATTCCATAGGCACGCACAGGGTCCAATCTGTACGGACATTTTTAAACTTTTAGGGCAGTCAGTGACATGTTGGGTGCAAGAAATTGTCCATCGCGTATGACCTAACGTACGTGCTGCTATTCAGAGAGAGAGAGAGAGAAAGAGAGTGATGGAGGCCTGCAACGAGAGAGGAGACCAGGTAGGCTCTAATGGCTCATCTTCGCAGAAGTCATGGTCTGAGCTTAGGGGTGTTGTCAGTGAGTTACGTAGAAGACTATCTGGTATATCTGCTGGTTCAGTACCTAGTTCGATCACCTTTCGGTCTCTACCTGATGGAAGGTAAGAGATATTGATAATAGAATTTGGTATACGGATAGAAGTGTAATACTGATTTTAGGACAAGAATATATTTCCTGAGCACACCCAGCAATGGATGGGAGACTACTCTACTCTATGTGGATATTGCACATTCAGATCATGCTAATGGATATAGGCTTCATTGGCAACCTGTTATCGAAGCTAATTTTCAAAGGTGTTTTACTCTTATCCAATATCGGGCAGCTAGAAGTATTGCATTAGCAGCACCTTGGTCCTTTAACATCGATTCAATAAGGACCTAAAGAGAATTGCGGTTTCAGCGTGTCGTGCGCGAATCTACTGTCAAAAGAAGAACAGCTGCTATGGGAACGCAAGAGACTGACGACCTGGGGCATTACCAGTTATGAGATTCATCCTGAGAGTGGAAAACTAGTATTTCCTGCTGCCAGTAGCCTTTATCAATGCGTCGATACTGGATTTATGGTAATAGTTCTAAGATAGCTTAATTATACACTTTACAATTTATCAAAGCTTACGGAGGCTCAGAATACTTCAATTATTTTAGCCAGGGCCCTTATTTCCCTCCGAACTAAGAATGTCCACATCTGGTGCCAAACTGTGTCCTCAAATTTGTCCATGGAACAATGCTCTAGTAGCTCATACATGTTCCGGAGACTTACACCTATCCCACAGCATTACAGGTTCCTCTGTGAGATTAACCCATGCCAGGAAAGGTGGAAGAAGTCTAGCTGATGATCCTCTCACAGCAGGAACTCCTTCTTACGTAATGCAAGAGGAGTTTACAAGGTTAGACAACCTAACAAAATAAACTACTTTAATTAAAAAAAAAAAATAATCCTATTACTCTACCAGGTATGTCGGTTATTGGTGGCAGCCAAAATCTAATGACGGTATCTATAGAATCGTCTACGAGGAAGTCGACGAAAGCGACGTCAAAATCTATTGTTTACCTATCTCCACATCATATTCAGGTGAAATTGATGAATTTCGATTTCCCTGCGCGGGCATGTCTAACGCTAGAAGTAACTTAAAAATGGTGCAATTCCGACTCTCGAAGACGCTACAGATCACTGATATCGAGATACTGGAGTTACAATATCCACTTCACACGATGTTTCCCTGGATGGAATATATGGTCAGAGTAGGATGGACTCCGGATTCTCAATAGTAGGTGGCACAATACTTAACCACACGTCCAACCTTTCTGTAATTACTCGACTGTTAAACTAATTCACATCAACATTCCTCAGCGTGTGGGTTCAGTTGCTTGATCGAAAACAACAGCGACTAGAGTTGGTGTTATTATCAGTGGACAATTTTTGTGAACCACCACCAAACGTATATAATTCCGAGAATCATTTTACATTGTCATCAGCCAGTGTCCAAGTCATTTACTCAGAGCAGAGCTCAATATGGATAAACGTCAATGACCTACTCTATTTTCTACCCTCTGACGATCCAACGGAAGTCAAATTCATTTGGGGCAGCGAAGAATCTGAATTCAGACATTTGTATTTAATCACTTCAAGTATAGCGGGTACGTGGTCATGACTTTACGGAATATTATTCGATGCTCATTTTCATGGCCATTGAATAACAACCAACAGATAAGAATGATGACTCAATACATGTACCCTGGACGTTTTGTACTTCAGGATTAAGCAATGGCGTTGAGGAACCTCTGGATCGTATGGACAGCGTTTTTCTTCATCCACGTGTTCTTTCGAAAGTCGCTCTTACACAAGGCGACTGGGAAGTCCTGGGTCGTAAATTGTGGGTGGACGAACCAAATTCAATAGTATATTTTTCTGGTTTACGTGAAGGTCCCTTGGAACAGCACGTTTATGCAGTATCGTTACGTCGCCCGTTGGAAATAAGATTACTTACAAGGCCGGGTTACAGTTACAATAGCATATACTTCAATAAGGAATGCACCATGTTGGTCACCGTGTACAGTTCAATTAAAACACTGCCCGCTTGCCAGGTAAAATATTATAGTTACCCTGAATATTCGATCATTTTTCCTAAACTTGACTTCTTATTCAGGCATTTAGGATATTACAGTCTGACTGGACTGTTGAGAGTATTTCGTTGACTCCCGTTGGATATCTTCTGGAACCGACGATTCCTGAATCCGAGATATTCGCTCCAGAAATATATACGCACAAAATCACATCCGGCGACACAATTTATTCAATGATATTCAAGCCACATAATTATCAACCAGGTAACAAGTATCCCACGATACTTAATGTGTATGGCGGTCCTGCAGTACAGCTTGTGTCAAATACGTTTAAGGTATATTCTTTTAATGCCTTCAGATTATCCTAAAACTATTGCACTTATTAAACATAATTACTTATTCAATTCTACAGGGTATGAGGCATTTACGAATGCACATGTTGGCTGCACAGGGATATTGCGTGGTCCTCATTGATTCTCGCGGTTCCCAACACAGAGGCCTAATGTTTGAAAGTCACTTGCGAAGACGTATGGGAACAGTAGAATTGAATGATCAAGTAGAAGTATTAAGATGGTTATCAGAAACCACAGGCTATATTGATATAAATAGAGTAGCTCTTCATGGATGGTCTTATGGTGGTTACTTGAGTCTTATGGGATTGATACAGTATCCTGACGTATTCAAGGTACGCAAAAAGTGTTGCCAGGAAAGATTGTACAAAGAAATATATAATTCATTGGCACTTTGTAGTTGGCAATAGCCGGAGCACCGGTGACATCCTGGAACTTTTACGATACTGGGTATACCGAGCGCTATATGGACCTTCCGCAGAATAATCCACGTGGTTACGTAAACGGATCAGTCCTGAGCTACATAAGCAAGTTCCCGGATGAGGAGAATCGACTGCTGATTATACATGGGCTCATGGACGAAAACGTTCACTTTTTTCACACAAGCCAGCTAATTAATGCCCTTGTGAAAGTTGGTAAGCCGTATCAGCTTCAGGTCTATCCTAACGAGAGACACAGCCTGCGAAATCTAGACACGAGTAAGCACTACGAAACCACTCTGTTGTCTTTCTTGCAAAATCATTTATAAATGAAGTCCAATGCAATTCGCGATCGTGCGTGGTCGTATCCGGTCGGAAGATTTCGGTTAAAAAAATGTTTGCAAGTCAAAATCGATTATCGTATCGAGTATCCCGAAATATAGTGACACCCGAGGAATGCAAAAAACTGCCATTAGTTTATGTACGTAGTAATAAACATGAACGATAAAAATTGTTCTACTCGCGATCTGAACTTCGCGACAAAGAGTCAATCAATTGATGATTGATTTACGTTATGGTTCTAATTATCTCGTTTTACTGTCGATACGAAGAATCATCGCAATACCGAATGCTCCTCAGACTTCGAACACCTTACCTACCTTTAACCCGTTAATAGTATTACAAACTTTATTACTAAATTATTCGCAATAATGCGCCTAGCTCCAAGCTTCACTTTCACATCATTAGGAGCCACACAAGGAGACTTTTTACACAATATAAGACTGTCTTATATTCTCCTTTTTCCCCTATCTCTTTCATGTTAACGTAAGAACATTTCCCAAATACGTAATTATGTGCGTAAAGTTAAAAGTCGTTGATTTGAAATCGCGGAGAGCTAAAGATCGAAGGAAAAATTATGTATAAAAAAATTGCAAACATGAAATAAGCATATAAAAGCCTAGAATTTATTATTTTTCTTTTTTATTTTAATAGAAGAAAAAGGATAATACTCTGATTTTTGTATATAAAATTGATATTATTCTCGGCGTGAAGAATGATTTTTAACGGCTTTATCATTTTATCCTACGCACATTCATTCATGAATTTCCGTTAATCCCTTTCCTTATCTTCGTACTGCGTCATTCACCCTCACCCCGTACCATCGTACTTACTTTTAATGATATTCGCCTTGCGAGCTAGATATATTTTTGATCAAGTGAGAGTTGTGAAATAATCATGAGACTCGGTGACGCGTACGAACGCGAAAACGAGCATATTCACCCCCTTTTAATAATAAAAATAGCAATGAGTTTGGAGTGATACAGATATTCGCGTCTTACGTCATTGTGAAACATTGTATATCCATTGGATAATTATTATTTGTCAATAAATAAATTCACTATTTTATATCCATCCAGCAATCCTCATATCACTTTAATATTAATTCTATTTATTTATTTGAACTTGAACATTATCAAGAATGATTTATATGTTAGACATTCCAGTTTTAGTTTTGCGATTAAGAAACTTGTACAGATATCGGATTCTCTTCTGAAGCTCCAACCACTTAGTAGGCCTGATAATTGGGAATAGTCCATTCTTATACATTTTTCTCTTTCGCAATAGTACTTGGTATTCATTACCATTAACACCTCGCAGCCAAGGCCTTACATCGTAAAGTATTCTTGTAGGGTGAAGTTTCTCGTTACCTAGGATATCAATATAATCATTCTGTCCAAATAGGGCTCTTTTCTCGTGCCAAACATTCTTTGGTTTATACACAGGCATTGGTATTCTTTTTCCAGAAATTATGTGTGGTAAAAGGCCACGTATCTCTGCTTTTTCCTTGTATCCATATCGCCTGGGTCTAGGACCCTTGGCTACTTTGTCTGCATGATAACGAAATCTAACTGATGTCAACTGAGGTGTCCAGACGCGTATGGCCGTTCTGATTGAATTTGCAATCCAGGACATTCTGCGAGAACAAGATCAGATATTATATGGCTGGGTAAGAGATAATCTTAATTAAAAGGATAGAATTTCTCTTCGGCAACATAACATAACCTATATGGTTTCAAATTCCTTTTATTGCTATTAATTACTGTAAGTAACGTATGTTTAATTTTGGAAAACAGTCCAAATGATTTACTTACTTTTTAAATACCTAGTACGTCAGATAATTAGTGAAACTTCTTGCTGTTTTTAATATCGGATACAAGGAACCATTTTTTGGTTAAAACACACTTCGTTAGTTGCGGTCACCCAGCGCTGCGCTACCAATGCGCAGACTCATAATTATATTATAGATATGATATATAATATAGTAAAATTTATTTTAATTCATAATTTTTGCCGGTATATGTTTACTATGATTATTGTAAAGCACAGATCCCCATATTTATTAAAATGACAAATTTGATTTTTCTAACGAAATATATAAATCCATAGTCTTATCTATGTGAATACATATTATGCGATCGCAGTCCATATCTCAAATAACAAATATAAAAATTATATAAAAAGATAAACGTATAGTTTATCGTTTATTAAACGTTTCATAAATAATTAAAACATAATATTTGGTTACGCCTTTTCTCCGACACATTCGGCCGCCGCTTGTTTCACACTTTTCCATTCAACATCGTGTTTCGTAGCTGAAAGAAAAGAATTGAGCATTTTAGCATTGAGCATAAAAGCAACAACGAATCATCAACATAAATGCAGTTGATAACATTAATTGTAAACAAATGTAAAATATGTTCATAAAACATACTTCGTGCCGGCATTGCGTATTGCAAATATAGCAGGTGCAATACGAGATAAAGAAAAGAAGTAGCGGCAGCAAGTGTGGAAAGTATTTTTAAAGTCATCGAGCCACCCAGTTTTTTGTACAAAATTCCACCAATTAGACTGCCAATAGAAAAGCCTGTCAATCAGAAATATTGAAGACATCGTATCAAAGATAATCCAAATTTTATAATTATAAGACTTACCAAACCCGTCATCCATTCCCGCCACGATACCCTGAACCGTGGCTGATGTTCCGGGTGGTGAAATGGCACTAGCGTAAGCTACGATTGTTGTATAACACAATGCATATGTGGGTCCCTGCATGAAGAATTCAATGGGCAAGACCCACCAAGGAGTTGGGGCCAATGAAATAAGGCCTAATCGTATTGAGTAACAGACAAAGCAGAACACAAAGCTGTATCCATAACCAAATTTCTTTAATATCTTTCCTAATAAGAAAAAAAATGTTTATTGAATAAAAAAATCGTACCAATAAATTAAATTATAATTCAATTAATCAAAATTGCATACCCGAGAGAGAAAAAAATATAACTTCTCCGCCTAAGGTCTCAGCAGCCACGATTAATCCTTCTATCAGTTTAATCTGACTCATGTAACCCGTCGCCTTCGCTAAATCTTCTAGATACCTAGTTAGAAAATATTATCGTATATTATCAAACAACTGTACAGGATTATCCATCTTAAATAGACCAGTAACAATTGATAGATATGCCATTACTCGTGACCGTCAGATTTTGAACTATTGCATTTAAATATATAATATCCGTGTTTTATACTCACCAAAATAAAAAATAAATTATGAAACTGTCAAATATACCAGCTAGAGTAGCGAAACACAAGAATATCACTATTGCCTTCATCTTAAGTAATTTGTAAACGTCTTTTAGAATATTTTCCGATCCCGACATGGTGGGTAACTAAAAATATCTAGTGTAAGATAGAAACTTTTAAATTTACTCAATTTTGTTATTCTTGTAACTTATTATGAATTGCAAGCGATCACCTCTAGTTTGGTGCAGCACATCAAATCGATACAGGAAAATCCCATAACGAGGACGAAGGCAGGAGTGTAGTCTTTTATTGCTTGACCTTGGGACCACCAATCTACAGCATAACCAGCTAAAAAAGCTGTAATTCCAAATCCTATAGTGCCCCATACACGTTGTCTACCATATCCCATCTGACCACCATGTCCTAAACAAAATTTTAGACTGTATAGAATTTCAACATAGGAAAATGGCTAAAATATATTTTAATTATTATTACCCAGCACATCGAAGCAGATTGCGTCACTTATGCAATTAGAAACGTTGAATCCTATATTGCCAAGAGACATTAGGATTACAAAGCCCCAGAACGTGATGGAAGTGTAGAGGCAACTGGTTTGAATATTTTCACAGGTCACGTCGCAAGTGTTATTAGATTGACAGGTCGCATTAGCATCAATGATACAAGATGAGTTCGCAGAAAGTTCTTTCGTGTAGTCATTGTAAACAAACATATTAGTAGCAAAATTGTTGCTACTGCAATTCCAATAGCATGTCACATTAATACCAATGTCACATGGGGCAGTAAAGGGTACTACTGAATTATTCTGATGGACTGCACACATTTTGAGTGAAGAACAGGAAACGTTCCTGAAGCCATTGTCTGGTAACATTGTTCCCGGAAGTGATGGCAAAAAATGCAGTAATACATAACAGCCACTCGTTGCTGCCAGGAGACAAACAAATATGCATTTTCGATAGGCCCGAAAATGATCAACCAAAAAACCAAAAGCTGGTTTTGCTATGAGAAATAAAATGGGTAAAATAGCGGTAATGCTACCCATGACCAGTGGTGAAATTCCAAGCTGTTTGCCGTAAACCGGTAAAAACGGTAATATGGGTCCCATGGCTAAAAATATAGAAAGTTAAACGGAGAATATGAATCCTCGGCAAATATACGAAAATCAACGCGAATACTTACCAGCCATAAAGAAAAAAAAATGAGCCTTGATCGGCAGCTGCTTCGAATTTATTTGAATCTTTCCCATTTTTATTGATCTCGATATCAGCTAATCATTAATCAGAATTTTTAATTATCGATCGAACGATAATCTTCGGAAGTCTCTATGACATAATTTACTGAAACACCATAAAAGTAAATAATAATTATATGTCGATTTGATTTTTCCTAAACTATTTTATCGATTCCTTTTCACAAATTTTGTGATTTACATTATTAGGAGTTATTTCATGAACTTTACACAGACGTATCTTTTTAGCACAATGATAAACACTCGAGACACAACAATACCGTTCGCTGTTAGCATCGCATTTGAACGCTAGAGTTCTATTCACGTTGGTTCAAAATTTTCATCTAACTAACCACCGCTATCTAATCTACAAACCTACAAATTTAATTTTAATAGACTGCAAGGTTTACACACGAATCATCATTGAGTCATAAATAAAGAAGACCACAGATATAATAAACCATTTATAACCACAATGGAAACACTGTCTATCAGTAAGTACGAAACAAATTCCCTTAAAGAAGATTAAACAATGCACAAGATAAAATCATTTATTAACAGAAACACGTGATGGAAAATTTTCAATATTCATAGCTTTTCTTAGGAAATGCATTCTTACATACCATATTTGCGTCCATCCAGACAAGGATTACTTCGTATGGTCACTTACCGACCTATCCTAGGGTAATACTTATCACTACGAAGTCAACATTATCTATAGTAGTTAACCAAAAAAAAGGGAACGAAATGCATATCCGAATGCATCACAAGGTTATTCGCTTGTTGTGAAAGCGATGCCAGACGTCGTCTCTGTACGTGAAAATAACCCCAACAAACGAGTCCACGGAAAATAAAGAAAAAGGCACTCCGCCCACTCACCAGATAAGATTAAAAATAAAGCAATTCCATCGTCTGCACAGAGAATTCCGATCAATTATTATCGCAAGAAAGTGTATGTAATAAAAGTGCATGAAATAAAAAAAAGATAATAGAGTCGCCACGCAATGCTTCTCTAACGTCAAATGCCAAGCAACTGGCGGTCACTGGCAACATATCCACGTGCGTACGACATCCTATAAATCCAAAACACGTATCGAAGCTATCCGAGAATACCCGAGTCTATCCGAAGTCCTGTAAGCTTAAGTATTTTGAATGCAAGACGATATTTAATCACGAATCAAGGCGTGGCCTTGTATCTCTCCTTATCTTCGTGTTTTGTATTCCTATTATTATACGTATTTATACCATGTCGATTAACAGTAAGCTATAATATAAATTTTACTCACAACTTTAAATCGCATAGTATACTCATACCGATTACAATCTCAAAGAAACGTATCAGATTTATTTTACTATCTCGTAAGAAAGTATTAGTGAATGAAATTGTACTAAAGTATATTGTATAAACTTACATTACCAATCCGCTTAACAGTATAGATATGTATATAAACTGCTTAAAAAAACATTACGAGCCTCTTAGCAATACGTGTCACCCCTCACTCTCTCTATATATATAACTACACTATACATGACACTCTGTATACAGTAAATTAAATGGAGCATCGGAAGCTGTATTACATTAATCCAATAATATAGCATACTATGAAGACACTGTAATTTATCAACACAAATTGAACGTCATAAGACAATACTGTTTTTATACGCACAGAGTATCTTTTTTTTTAGAACTAAATATCCATGCACGCATGTACATCGTATCCTAAAAAAGGATATTGTTGTTGTCTTCCATGCCTCAGGAATACCACTCTACTCAGTAAATCCGATAATTTTCCGACACACTGTATATTTGAATCTTAAGTATTCTTATTTTTTTGCCCTGTACCAAACGTCACCACCGATTATCCTCGTCCCGTTTCATCAATGGTATAATCGTCGGATCGACTGTCCAACATCTCCCGTGCCGGAAAGTCACAAGCTTTCTCGTAAGTATATGCGTGTAAAATCTACACACACGATACAAGTGCATATAGATATACGCACTTACTACACGCATATTCCTATTACGTACAAGCTGGACTCCCACCAGAGTAAATCCAGTTCCCTTGGACTTTCGGCTAGAGACTACGAGAATGTCAGTATTCGCTCGAGTGACTAGTAGTCCAGTAGACGCTTTACTCCTGTTCGGTACTCATTCTATAGATAGAAAGAAAGGAAGGGAGAAGGAATTAAGTAGGATACGATCGTAGGAGAAGGAAAAAGAAAAGCAAAGTTGCGATCACGTGGCGTGACGGTTATTTTCGAATTAAATTTTTTAATTCACATCCATTTTCTTTACATTTATTTTTTTATTCAACATCGTCCTAACCCACCGAGCATACTGTATCCTGTATACTGTCTTGCCAGTGAATGTCAGTTTGCCGAGGCCTTTGTCCCGCTTCTGTGAAACTCTGAAAGTTTTAAGACACCTGGAGATCAACTCCAGGAAATGTAATCAACTACTCATGTGAAATCTATGCGAATCGTTGAACAGTGAAACATGAAGGAAATGTTCACTTGGTTTATTGTCGTGTCGGCTTCGCTACTGTTCTCCGTGTCAGCACAGGAGAGCATTCACACTGCGAAACGTGAGTAGATTTTACGGTGTTGTTGCCAATAGTATAAAAAAAAAAATGACGCTTAACGCGTGGAGATTTACTTTCGTTTGAATTTCATACGGAGAGAAACGATTTATGGTATTTTATCTTCAAATACGGTGATTTTCTTATTTATAAAGGCCAATTGACTTTGTAGTACTTTATTGCCACTAAATTTAGTCCGCAATTTATCACGTTTATAAGTCTTAGTCACTGTCGACATCCAAGTTAACGGAAGTTCGAAGGTCGTATATATATATACATTTGATAGAGTTGGATGGTTTCTGCCGAATGATATATTTGATTGAAGCTGCACTTTTGTTATTCTTGTCTCTGTGACAGAGAGATGCGCTTTGTTTTGCACTTGCAGAACACCAAATGCTATGTCACGTGGGATAACATGATAATTAATCTACCGCTAGGAGATACGAATTCCCATCGGCTGCTCAGATTCTGTGAATTGGAATGTTGGACATACTAATTCATTTTGCTAACTTCACTGTAAACAGTTTGATACTATTGATTAACTTCCATTGACGATCCTATAGATGTTTAATCGTAGTCACGCATATCGGCCACTGACATATATAGTAATAGATATAATAAATATGGCACTGGTAGTATAGTATATACATGCTGTAGACTATTGTAAGTTAGATTCGAAAATCTGCACGTTATAATAATAAATTATTGCGAATTGGAACTTCCTGCATTGAATCATACCTAAGGAAAGATCATAAATCAACAGATAAAGGAGCAATTTACTCGAATTAAAAAATTAATTAACTTTCCTGAAGGAATTAACGGATGGTTATTATACGGTTAAAATATTTGCAATTATACTGGCAGTGTTCCGGTCTGATTATTATTATTATAGTAGGAACGTCAGTAACTAAGTCTACTTGGTGCTTAAGAAAAATTATTTTATTCCTTTTTTTTTTAATATCTTCCAGTTAAGCTGTGCGTGGTTGCCGATAGTCGGACTGCGAAGAGGATTCATAGGACATGTCCGAAACTTGTTACCCCTGGAAGTCAGGTAGTTTGTGTTATAGCAAATGATAGGCAAGTATATAAATTACAATAGTGGATACTGAGATTTTAGTGATTGGGGAGTTTTAATTAAAAAAAATTTTTTAGATCCGAATGTTTGACACAGTTAACAACTGCTAGTAGCGATTTCACGGTTTTGGAACCAGAAGATTTGGTTGCGGCTAGTGGTTATACCGAATACAATATTCTAGTCACGAATGAACTCAGACTGTTTAAAACAGGTAATTGATTAATGGATTACAAATATAGTTTTAAAGGAAACGTGGTTTTTTAAAATTTTGAAATTCTTTAGAGAATCAACGTTACGAGATTGTCGCTCTGGTGAATAAGAATGTCGGAAGTCTGTTCGATCTACGAGGAAAACGATTTTGTCATCCAGGATACGAAACTTCGGATGATTGGACGCAAATCTTCGCCACGGTTGACAAATTTAATTTAGACTTGAAGTTTGGGTGTTTACTGAAAAAAATTATATCAGCTTTTTTGTTTTACGTAGTATTTTGAAAAACGGGTCATTCTCAATGAATGCGATACTAATAAGACGCTAGTAGAGAACCGGATGCATACGTTATCCAATTATTTCGAAGCAGCCTGTATAGCTGGTGCCTGGACACCGGACTCTGTTCTGGACACTCAACTGAGTTAGTTTTTCAAAATGAAATTATTGTTTTTTTTTGTTATTATTAAGAAATTTTTTTTAGAATCAAAGTACAAGAACCTTTGTGCACTTTGTGAAAATCCTGCTGGTTGCTACGCCGCTGACAAGTATCATGGTCGTGAGGGTGCTGTTTTGTGTTTGACTGACAGCATGGGTGACGTTGCCTGGGTCAGATTACAAGATGCCCTTCAACATTTTAAGTCCCTGGGGATAAAAAAGCGTGATTATGCTTTTCTTTGTCCCGATGGAACAGTCAAACCTATGGATTCGAATAGTCCTTGTGTATGGATACGAAGACCATGGCCAGTGGTTGCATCTCGAGTGTGATTAAATTTATTAATTACGTCATGTAATGATATCGAGAATTTTATATATAAAATATATATTTTTCCAGTGAGGTCGCTGAGCGAGTTTCAAATATTATGAGATATTTAGATCAAGCCTCCGCGTCTTCTTGGCAGAATGCGGTACTCCGACTTTTGGAAAGTTACCGTTCCACGCCTGTACCCACGGACACGTTACAAACGTCTGAAGATTTTTTATCCAGATGTAATGATAAGTTGATTATATAATTATAGGCAGCTATTGGAGGAGTCAGATATTAATTTTTCTTTCCAGTTCCAGGATTTATGAGCGCTAACAAACGCACTGGTTGTCAGCCATCGCGAAGAATACAATGGTGTGTTGCATCGAATCTTGAAGACCGGAAGTGCAGATGGATAAGACAAATATCTTTTGTTTACGGAATCGAACAGCCGATATCCTGTTACCAGGTAACTAGTAGGAGAGACTGTCTTGAAGCAGTTAAAACTGGTCAGTCTGACATCTTTGTTGCTAAACCGGAAGAGGAGCTGGAATGCCGGAAGTGAGATATATATAAAGGATATTTATTCTTCAAAAAATAATACCAGTAAGTTATCTTAATTTTTTGTCTTGGCAGAAAGGGACTCAAACCCATCTTATGGGTCACTACTAATAAGCAGGAGGATATGAATAAAATTTTGGCAGTTGTGCGGGAAGATTCAAAATTTCGAAAACTTAAGGATCTCAAAGGTGGCAAAGCTTGTTTCTCAGGATACAGAAGTATCGGTAAGTAACTTTTTTTTTATTAAAAATTATAGTACTGAGACTGTGATTCATTTTAAGGCTGGAATGCATTCGTCTCGATAATGGGAAATAAATCTCTGAACGATTGGGCGTGCTCGGATGCTGAAGCTGTGAGCAATTTTTTTAGCGATAGCTGCGTTCCTGATTTGAGCAAAGATAACGAAACCATGCCAGCCAATTTGCATTCTTTGTGTAAATCAGGTATGAAAATTAGTATAGTTACTGAATAAATTTGAAACCGATATAAAAAAAAGACTTCATAAATACAGACTCAAGGGTTGGTGACGAGGCGAGCACTTTTCAATGTCTCACTTCCGGCGCGGGCGACGTCGCTTTTATGAGTTCAAAAATGTTCCAAAAACTCACGAGTAACTCATCCAAGTACAACAAAAAGGGTTTCCGGTCTCTTTGTGAAGACGGCTCTCACTTTAATGAAAATTTCTGTTTCTTGACATGGACCACTTTGGGCTCGGTAATTACATTATATAATTACGATAAAAAATTGATTCAGCATCGATAACTCATAACGAAAAATACGTAGGTAATGGTGAATGAAGAAATTTCAAATTTGAGAAGAGACGACATTTATTCCACTCTACTGGAATTGGACCTAATGTTTGGTCAAACCTTTATACGAGCTTTTTCAATGTATGGTACATATGATGGTAATCGTAGCATAATATTTCCGGTGAGTAATTAATTTGTAATTATTTATCAATCTATGTCCTCGCATAAACAATCCAAATTACCTTCCAAATCACGAATCTCATCATAGCTCATAGAGTCATTTTCATATCCATAAAAAATCATACCATTATCACAGAAAGCAAATGGAAAATGCATACTTTTTGAATATACCATAGGTGTACCATTGATGTCGACCGCAACGCCACCTATATCCGATTCAAACATTTCTTTTTCAAAAAGATTCAATTCTGTCTCAACTGCTAATTCTGGTGCAGCTCCACAAACTTCGTTGATATCTTTATTAATCCTCTCCACGATCTTTCTTGCGGGTCCATACAGATAAATTGATTTCTCATTACCGGAAACGGAAGCGCAAGCATTCCCTTCGGCAAAAATTCCACAACCAATGACAGTTCCACTTGGACTTAGATAACCAGAGATTTTTCCAGTATGCCCAGCAGTCGACGTACCACTCACCAAAATTCCATTTCGATCCAGCGCAACTGCTCCGACTCCACCCACCTTTAATTTGTGACAATTATCAGTTGCATTAAAAATATTTATAAAATAATCAACTATCTACTTGCAAAACTGTGGGTGCATTAAGTAATCGTCGAGCATCTGCTTCTAATTTAGATTTCTCCAATTCTCTTTGTTTAGCTTCCTGTTTCATCAAAAACCTGGTTACACACTGTGGTAATTTTTTTGCACTTGTAACTTCTGGTTTGTCGGTGACCTCCAATATGTGATTCTCAAAATTACTTGAAGTATCTTCATAATTTTCCTCCAGTTCATCCTGGTCATTGATTGTGGAATTACTTATTGCTTCCTCGTTATCCTCATATAATTGTGTCGAGGAACCGGATGTTATGTTCTTTTTAAGCGATCCTGGTTTCAAAATGGGAAATCCCATTTCAATTGCAAATCTCTGAGCGCCATTATCAACGACCAAAACATTATCCGTTTCCTGTAGAACTTTTTTTGCAAGGCTTATTGGATGTTCGATATCACGAACTGAACCAATACAACCAGCATTCCAATTATTATCCATCAATCCGGCATCCATTACTATATTGCCATTTATATCCAAGGATCCTCCTCTGGCGCAATTAAAATATGGTTGACTTTCCATATGACAGATTGCTGTCTCTACAGCATCTATGGACGAGCAGCATTCCAAAAGTTGTCTGTACGACTTCAAAGCAGCTTTTTTAACCTCTTGAAGCATATAAGATAATTCCTTATTTGGTATTCGTCCTGCTCCACCATGGACTATTATTACTGGATTCTTTTTGGCCGGTGTATTTCTTCGTTTTTCCTCTACGATATCAGCCTCCTCTTTGGCTTTCGCTAGAATCGTATCTATCCATGTGCAATAATCACACATTGAGACTGAAATTTGGAATTTCTTTTTACAGGAAGAAACGCAACATCTGCAGCGTGACGTTAGTCACATTGAAAATGAAAAAAGTTACGGGGATATCGTGCAAAATCTTATGCAGGCACAGTGCAGTGGTACCAGTTATTTAAATATTCAATATTATAATGCCAAAACGATAATGCTTTTACTAATAACATTTACTCTGAGTCATTTAATGATCTAGTTAATCATTTTTTTGGTATAATTACTGTGATATTTCAGCATGAAAATCATTGAGATTTTGATTGTTGTGTAATATATAAGGTATTTTATGACTATATTAAAAAAAAAAAAAAATGAACTTTTGTAAGAAACTAGAAACTCGTGTTATTTCTTTTATCGTAAGCATGATTTTATTTCAACTGATTTTTATTTTATATAATAGTATCTAAAGTCTAACGGTGTATTTAAATGAATGGAATCGTATTATATTTGATGTTAACAATATTTAAAGGATGTTCGCCATATTGACTTTGATAAAGTATCTTTGTAAACTCTTGTTACTGATCGATTTTCAAAAATCAGATATAATTAGCATTTGGACCCACACCACTCAGGATACAATTTTTTGTGCCGGTTGTGATTATCCTTTGGACGGAAAACTGTTTGAAAACCTATTTTCTATATGTCTATAAAACTACAGTACAACGTGTAAAATAGCAAGTATTAATTAACGCATCAACTATTCTTTTCCTCAAAGATGCTTGAAGAGAAAATTATATTAATCGTTATTGCAGTCTTGCGAATTAATCGAATATGAAATCGTCCGAATACAACAATAGGGTTCTAATAAAAAATATCCTTTTTAGGATATAACAATCTTAACGATATGTCGAAATGGTAATTTAGAAAATTGTTTTTTGATTTTGTTTATGGTATCTTCTTAATTCATTGCTTTTCACTGAAGCATCTTATTAAGCACTTATAATATTTATTACGAATTAAATTATAAGATCTCGACATAACGTAAAAATGTATTCAAATCTTTTTGAGTCTCTTCCATTTTTGAATAATGAAAATCTTTCTTCAACATGTGTATCTCCACTGTTCCAGTATCAGTACCGAAAGCCTGTAGAACAAAGATTTTTCCAATTATAATGCTATTGAACAAAATATGTTTAATATTATCCACAAAATTATTATACTCTATTTACCAGATATTGATTAATCATATCATGATCATTTTTGCAAGGAGATAATTCCATACTGCATATACGTCCCCACGGATTTGTAGATATCTCATATATTGGGAATAAGTCACTGCTTCCCAAATCCCATATACAAATTCTGAATGAAATACCAAAATATAAATAATTAATCAAAACAAACAAAATCGAACAAGCTTACTTTGAGTCGTAGTCTAGAACGTATATAGTGAACGGTTTTGATTTGGACCACTGAATATTCCTAATAGCACTTTTGCAATGTGCGTCTTTCAACTGTAAAAGGGGTCGTTCCACGTTCAAAGAATGTAGCCTCACAGTACCATCATTGCAGCCAACCTATCAATAAAATAATTTATACGATAAATTAATTTTCATATTTCTCTTCATAATAAAAGAGAGTATACTTACAAGGAAGAAAGACTCTTTAAATGGACACCTCTCTATGCACGTTGTAGCACCAGAGACATCTGCAAAAAACAATCTTATATTACAATTATTTAATTACATACATTTAAAAAAAACCTACCCATATCATTTTCTTTATAAATTGATGGACTGACTTTACGCCCAAGGCATGTAGCACGCAGTATGTTACTGGAGTTAGTAGCCAAGTAAATGTTATTAGCATCAATACTATCAACATGCATATCAACGAATCCCTGAAGATCTTGATCTCTGCAAAGAATATACTCATAAGGGAACTAGGATTATAAAGTCCATTAGATTCAATTACATTTTACTTTTCCTGGAGCCCACAAGAATCTCTTGACTTTTAACGAGTTTTACATTACCCCATTGGGATAATCCTAAATCATCATTAGACACTCCTATATTTTTTAAGACGCTCCATATTATCAAGCATCCATCTTCATCCAGACTGCATATCTATTATCAATTACTATTAAAATTTAATATTTTTCATTGCCTATAACTTACAGCCTACAGGAACAATACAAAAATGTTTGCATGTTTTCTACAAGCCTCACTGAGTTATACCTGTATTGGTATAAATTGATTGAGCAACGATCCACTTGATTCACTGTGAATCTTCGATAAGATTCTTATCGCTACAATTTCTGATGTATGTCCATTTTCTATATTTCCTGCAGTAGTATAAGTGGCCGATCTTATAATCCAATCTGTTTCATTAGCTTTATCAGTAATTCTCTGATGCCACATCTCATCCTCTCTCAAATCCCATAAACTTATTGAACTGCATAAAAAGAAATATTCACTCCTCGCCGTCAGTTATATATATATAAATTTACTAAGTTATTTAATTACCCTTCCCGAAGACCAGCAAATATAACATTGTAATATATCGAATGAAAGCAACAAGCACTTATTGGAGAAGGTGAGTAAAATAATTTTGTTGGTTTCGATGGTTCTGATATATTCCATATACATCCTATACTGGAATCAGTGATATAATTTTGTTTGCTGGAAGTTTCAATACCCTGTATACGAAATATAATTTTACTTTATCTGGTGATATGGCATTATAATGTAAATTTTAGTTTGTAATTATCTTTGCGTAAATGTACATTTCCCTGTACCTCATCAACTGGTGAATGAACAGTAAGTAAAACTTTCCTCAGTGCCTCAGAATAGTGAATAATAGTAACTGGTCTACCAGATAGAAAAGTAACGGAGTCAATAGAAAGTCTAATTAAACCATTACTGAACGGTAATTCGTGTTTGTCATTTTGCAGTACGCTGCCACCGAATTTCCGTTCTTCTAATAATGACAACATCATTCTACCAGCTTTACTTAAAAAGTCGTTTAACTGTAATATATCGAAATTAGGAAGTGGGGATGGACTTTCAAAATTTGAATCGTCACTTCCGACACCGATTTGCTCCTGAAAATTAAATTCAGTTTATTCGTACTTAGATTGTTCTGCATACTATCAGTGACGTTACTGACCATTTTGAATAACTTAATATCTTCGCTAGAATTTAGATTTCTTTTGCAAGATACTGGAAATTGTGTCCATTTATTACTGCATGTGATATCGTCCGTTTGTGTTTCCATATTAAGATTATCTTCGTTAGTTTGGACAGACATCTAATAAATGTTATATTATTGTGGGAGATAGTAAATTTTAATTGCAGTCTTTCAATACCTGTTGAGTATTTAGTTTCCCGTAATTACAGATAAATTCTTCATACGTGACTGGTGATGATTCCAGGAGGGACCATTCGATAATATCCAGTTTAATCATTCCCAGTAATTCACGACCGCGACTTAGGATTTTGGATCTCTCCTAATTTTTGTTAGGATCATGAGGTAAGAAAAAGATGTCTAATGATGTTACGGCAATTGTGTGTCATTGGATAGCAACGAGAAGCATGTACCTTTTCAATTTTATCATCTTTGCATTTTTTAAAATCGATATAACACATTTGCGAAATCGGTGGGGATTTTGTAAAATCGCCAGAACGGCCATCTTCGAAACCTTCGTCAGTCGACAAGGGCAGTGATTTAGTTTCTGAATTCTTTTCTTCCCTGTATCAGGAGAATTCTCTTTAATACCCATATGATATTAATAAATAGCGAAAAGAATGTTTGCATGCAGTTCCGTAAGAGAAGCGCAGTTAAAGAAAAGCGTCAGGGTGCGTAAATTGGAAGCTTGAGGGTGTACGAAAAATGAACTTAAATCTTAATTGTGCAGGTGCTTTATTTGTCTTGATATTTTATTCTAGTTATGGCGAACCTATACCCTCTGGCAACTGGTTGTCGCACTTCCGGTAAAGGCGGTGTTTTTGGTTGGTTCGCGGACATTGATTCTATACGAGCTGCTCTTTTTCGAGCTTCCGCCAATTCATAGTGCCCGGAATCTAACATATGCTCCTCTTCTATTTTGCGATTTTCAGCACTAGGTATCGTTTTTCGCTGTTATAAAGTTTTTTTATTTATATATTTATTTAGTTATTCATGTTCAATGCAAATGAATTTATAGAAAAATGGAAAGTACTTGTACTTGAGTTTCTGTTCGCAACTCTACTGGTTCCATCGTAACACTACTGGTACTGTCTTCAGATTCTTCACTGATTTGAGATTCTTCGCTGTCAGTACATTCTTGAAAATCTGACTCATAATCCTACAAGTATTAACAAATCTTGAAATAACATATATTTGATCTTTTGGGTTTCAAAATAACTACCTCAAAATCATCCTCGTAATCATATTCATCCTCTGCATCATTAGGTATATTTTTAAAGTTGTTTGATGAATGTTGCTGAGAAATTGTATCTTTTAATCCACTTGTAACATTCACAACTGTATGTAACACTTTAACTTCACTTGGACTTAAAGTTCTGGATTTTCTACGTTCTTTAGATGGTTGTCTTGGTCTAGATTTTGTTATTTTCTCCTGATTAGCCACATTCTCTCTATGTCTTGAGGATTGTATACTTTTAGGAGTAGACACCTGTCCAGTAATCTTCGATGCTAATTTACTGGCACTTGATTTAGGCATGTAAACTGTACTCAAACCTCGTTTCTCCATATAGCCAGTATTACTTTTCTCTCTGGATTTATTTTTTTCAATAGGTCTGCTACTATTAGTCTTTAATGATACTTCAGACTTAACTCTTGTAGTTGTGTTTCTGTTGGTCAGCTGAGACTGTATCCGAGGAGAGCTAACACTAGTTTTTGTTGTTGAGGATAAAACATTTTGTTGTGTAGTTTGTTTCTGTGGCACACTGTCTTTAGATTTGCTCCTGCTGGATAGGAGTTTGTTGGAAACATTTTGCGAAGGTTTTGATTTTACATCCCCAGCTCCTCTTCGGTTCACAGATTGTTGAACCTTCTTTTCATTAACGTCTGACTTAACTTGAGACTCAGAACTAATATCAGTCGATGTACGTACTTTCATCTTGCTTTGTGTATGTGATCTTGATCCATCTTTGGACTCAAGAGTCTTTTTAATTGCACCCTAAGAAATTCATTATCTTACCATAAAAGAAATGTTAAACAAGATTTTCCTATTTCGAATAACATTTCCAATAATAATAAGTAATACCATAAACCGTTTATTACGCATAGTAAAATATTTAATATATTCAAAAATGAACATCAATAAGTGTGCAGTGATCGTATAAAAATAAAAACCTTGACCGATTATTACATATTACGTGTATGGCTTTAATTGGCATTGAATATAATACAATGCCATAGCCATAAATTATATTGTACGGGATCAATAAATTGTGAGGATTTTTCCAGTGCTCCAAGAATTATTAAAAATTGTAGGAAAGCTTACCTTATTTGACATTATGTACTTAATTGATTTGTTTTGATAGTCGTGAAGTCGCCATGATGTAAACTGTGGTAACTGCAACCAGAGATGAGGAGGGAGATGCACAACGCTACGGTTTTAGGCGGTATGAAAATCATGCCGCTAAATCGAAGCGGCGAGTCTGGAAGTAGGATTCTGTGATCATCGCCTCCGTCGACAATGCAAATCCCGTCGTAGTCGAGCTAAACGTGAACACGAACGCGTAGCTTGGCGGGCAGAGGTTCTCCGCTACTCACCACTGGTTCCCAAAGCAACTCTTAGAACGAGACCGGGAAATATAAAACTTCTCAAGAATTATTGAAAAAGCTTATTGTTGAAATATTTTTAAGA